TATATATATATATATATATATATATATATATATATATATATATATATATATATATATATATAATAAAGACTGAATAAGACTGACGAAGTTTTTTGTCGGTTAAAATATGTCTATACCCAATATGAGGTAAATTGGGATTTTATTGTGTATTACATTTGCTCTGTAATAATAAATACATTGAGCTCTTTTTGTGGATCAGTTTTAATAATCTAGTTCCACGTGCCATGCCTAATGGATGTCATCAGTTATCTCCTGTTAATATCCCCTCTCCAAGTGGAGAACTTTCATAGGGAAATTAACAGGCGATAACTGATAACTGACATCCATTAAAAACATGGCGCGTAGAACTAGAACAGTCTACCCCAGCGAGCGAAATAAAGGTTTTAGTCTGACATTCCAACCACCCGAAGAAGGCCGGAGCGTACAACGGCCGAACCGTTGAAATAAATATGGCGACAAAGATGAGGACAACAATCCGAATAATGTAAATAGTAACCATGTCTCTCTATCAGTTACGACGGAATAGTGAGTGCGATCCTTACTAGCTGCTTCATACTTTCGGCCTGATTAAAATAGCAAAGTAGACTGGGCTATCTAACCTTGGCTGGCAACCATTCTAGTAGAAAAAGAATGTTGATATAAAAATTCCTTAATATTTTCTGTTTCCTTTCATTTGCCAGTTGTGGGTAGAATTTGGAAACCCTACTCTATATAAAGTTGCCAAAATATGAGCTGTTCAAAATCAAAGAATATTCGGACGTAAGATCCAGAGTCCGCAGATTTCCTCGAGTGCCTGTTGTTTTCTGGAATGTCGAATTTTGTTCTGAGTATGGAATGTGCTCCCCCTACCGAATTCATCACATATCGTATCTGCGCCTGGAAGAGATTTGGGGATTGTAGCTTTTTATTTTGTCTGAAAGAGAGTAAAGTTTTTTTGGGATTCTTTAAAACGGTTCACGTAGGAAGATAGCAGAAAGTGATTAACATGTGACAGATTTATAGTTGACTTTAACTGGCATTTAAATTGCAATTTATTGGACGGGCTTTCAATATTGAGTGGAAATTTCATCGCCGAAATGAACCCGAAAGAGTAGGGAAATAGAAAGAGAGAGAAGGAGAGGGGGGAGAGAGAGTAGGAAAATAGAAGGAGAGAGAGAAAGAGAGTGATAGAAAGAGAGGGAGAGAGAGGGAGAGGGGGAGAGAGAGTAGGAAAATAGAAGGAGAGAGAGAAAGAGAGATAGAAAGAGAGGGAGAGAGAGGGAGAGGGAGGGGAGAGAGTAGGAAAATAGAAGGAGAGAGAGAAAGAGAGTGATAGAAAGAGAGGGAGAGAGAGAGGGAGAGGAGGAGAGAGAGAGGAAAATAGAAGGAGAGAGAGAAAGAGAGGATAGAAAGAGAGGGAGAGAGAGAGGGAGAGGGGGGAGAGAGAGAGAGAGGGGAAATAAAGAGTAGGAAAATAGAAGGAGAGAGAGAAAGAGAGTGATAGAAAGAGAGGGAGAAAGAGAGAGATAGAAAGTGAAAGAGAGAGATAAAACGTGAAAGAGAGAGACAGAGAGAGAGAGAGAGAGAGAGAGAGAGAGAGGGGAGATAAAGAGTAGGAAAATAGAAGGAGAGAGAGAAAGAGTGTGATAGAAAGAGAGGGAGAAAGAGAGAGATAGAAAGTGAAAGAGAAAGATAGAAAGTGAAAGAGAGAGAGAGAGAGGGGAGATAAAGAGTAGGAAAATAGAAGGAGAGAGAGAAAGAGAGTGATAGAAAGAGAGGTAGAAAGAGAGAGATAGAAAGTGAAAGAGAAAGATAGAAAGTGAAAGAGAGAGAGAGGGGAGATAAAGAGTAGGAAAATAGAAGGAGAGTGAGAAAGAGAGTGATAGAAAGAGAGGGACAAAGAGAGAGATAGAAAGTGAAAGAGAAAGATAGAAAGTGAAAGAGAGAGAGAGAGAGAGAGAGAGAGAGAGAGGAAAAATAAGAAGAACGAGAAAGAATAATAAGAAAGAGAGAAAGAAAAATGGAGAAAATGCAGAAGAAACGAGAGGCAGAAAATAAACCAGAATTTAAAAACATAAACATCTGTAGTTAATGTTAAACGAGATGTTAAACGACAGATAGATAAAAAGAGAGGGAGAGAAGGGAGAAGAAAGAGAGTGAATCATGAGACATAAGGGAATGGAAGAGAGAGAGAGAGAGAGAGAGAGAGAGAATTTATTAAGCGTAGCTTAGATGTGGTACAAATTCAAAAGTATTGAACACTCAAGGCGGATCGAATTCCATTCACATCCGTAACTGAGCTAGCGAGACAAGCCCGCCAACCATTAAGAGAGATAAAGAGAAAGGTAAAGTAAATGAGAGGTATTTGCATACCATATATATATATATATATATATATATATATATATATATATATATATATATATATATATATATATATATCCAAAAGTATCACAGTAATTTCAACTAATTTTTCTTTTGCGTTACTAAGTGAAATTTTGTTTCCATTTTCCATAAAACTTCCTCGTTGCTCACATGTTCTGTCCATGGTATTCTCAGCATGCTTTTGTAGAGCTATATCTCTGTTGCCCCAACCCTGCTCTTCATTTATGAGGAGCTTGTCCAGCATATCACGATCACGAGTCCCATAACTAGGGTTACCATATATACTGCAGTCGCAGTAGAAGTGGTGCGTCATGTGAAAGATCGCCTGAAGGAGCCCACCCTTCTTCACCTAGACCGGATTCCACCCAAGGCAATAGGGCCCAGTTTTCCTTACTATTTTTCATAGCTTTATCAATGGTATTAGCACGTAAGTGAATGTAATAATCTTGACTGGAATTCGAACTCGGATTCCTGAATCCTCAGTCCGAGCCGCAATCCATTACTCTATCATATAGGAGGATTGATATATTCCCTAATAGCCGAGCATTCTTCTCTTTGTTTTGAAAAAAAATACCCGATTCTTAGTATTATGTTTACTAACTGGAATACACCTTTACTAGTCCGATGTGTGTTCGCATTTAACTTCCCAGTTCTTTTTTTAAATTTAAGGCAATAAAGCGACTAAGGTACAAGGGTTACTGACTGTGAAAGAACAGGAAAAATGGGGAATCATTAGGGACCGAAAAGAAAGATAAATCTCTTTACGAAGCATATATTGATAGAAAATGCTAATGTGCAGACCAGGAGCTAAAACATGCAAAGAACTAACTGCAGTGTTAACGGTTAGAGAGACAAGATTGCTTGCAATCAATCAATAGTGATCAGATCTATATTTGTGTGCCAGCCGTCGGCTATCACTCTTCTCATATTGGAACGCTATCCTAACCAACTGCGACAAACGAACTCCTTAGGCCTTTATCGTCCAGTCGCAATGAATTTCATGTTCACCGGCATCTACGCTCTTCTATAAAAAGGAAGAAAACACAGTGAACGTTTTCTTAGCAAATATTGCGACACTCTTGTTTTGCACTGATAAGTAGCCATTTTTCGTGTCGCTTCTTGATGATAATGCTACTATAAATAGGCAAAAATAAAATAAAATACCAGACACTATAATAAATTTACCCTATTATCCTATCTTACAACTCGACCATACTTAATTACTCAATCAATATCGGCAGTTACTCATTTTCTTCCTATAAGACAGAATAAATATGAGAACAACAGCTCAACTAAAATTAAACAACATCGGCAATTCTTTGTCCCATAAATGAAATAAAAAAATAATAAACATTTTATTCAAACTTACTGGTTACTTATATTGAAAAGAATTTAAAAAAATCTCTATTGGCCATTCATATTATTGTTTAAATCTCTTCATATACTTGCTGTTATTAACACGTTTTAGTCAACCAATTCTTCAGCTTTTATCAAGTGTATTATATGCAGAAAAAAAAATTCCTTTCCTTCAAGGAAAACACTCAGTAAATCTGACAAGGGATGAAAAATGGCCAACCAAAATGTGTTAACAATAAGTATATGAAGAAAGGATGAAAAATTATTTAAATTATTTACATGCAGACTATTGTCTACATCTTCGTTGCTCTCACAATATTTCAGCCATTGTGCCTTCATGTGTATTGATCCGGGTAGCCAACAGGAAATTTCAAACTGAACACTTTATTTAATCAATAGGGCTAGACTGTTCTTGTTCCACTGTCCATGTCTAGGGATATCACATATAGTTCTTATTTTAATAGTGTTTAGTTATTACTTATCCTATTTCCACTGAATTCAAGTACACACTGTCAGGCACAGGGATTGAACTTACAATTACCATATCACCAAATTTATGATTCAATGCTTTGAATAGACAGTGAGAAAATAAAGAAAATAAGCTCTCTCTATCTCTCTTTTTCTCTCTCTCTCTCTCCCTATTTTTAAAATAATTAATGAATGAATCCTCTCAATCAATTTAACTCTAGGAAGATATCAGGTAGATTTATTTTGTTGATTATTTGTCTGTTGGGCGTAAAAAAAAAAGCTGATAAGGAAAAGAGCAGGTGCAAGATTTTAGCCCAAGACCACCTGTTAGTAAACAATGGTTCAGGGTACCCTAATCGGTTCCCCTAGTCAAGAATCTCTTGTTTGATGTCATGGCCAAGATCCACTTTTCAATTCTCTTAGAAAAAACAAAAACAAAAAAAACTGCACCCTCAGCGCTAAATATTAACATCAATTTTCCCGCTCCTCCTTGTCTGCCATTCATTTCAGCCTCTAATCCTTTCAGCCCTGAACAATTTGAACCCTTCTGTCTGAGCTCCTGAGTCAAAATTCGCAAATAATTGGTATGTAATATTTCGCGGTAGATATAAAAATAGTTACAAATGTTTACCCATAGTTCAACCGGTGGCTGGGCATTAAGTCATTTTTCTCTGCCACTGTTCAACCGGTGGCTGAGCACTACGCTATTTCTTCTCTAACACCAGTAAAGCATTGGTCAAGGAAGGATCAAAGGGTTAAGCCATAACCACCAAGGGGCTTCTTTTGCTACCATTGATATTGAGCAAATCACCATGATTTTTCTCGAACCTGTTTGCCTTCATTGTGACAGCATCTTGCAACGCCATCACCCTGTGCATTCAATTTCGATCGGTTTACAGATGTTTCCCAAGATTCTTTTTGTGGCCTTCCTCTATCTACTCTTTTACAAGGAACTGTTATTTCTAATATAATCAATTGCTTGGTTTTATCCGAATCAATAACCATGTCCGGATGTAGCTGTGTCTGTATTATTTGCTATTGATTTTAAATGCCCACCCATATCGATTTTCATTTGCCAGTTCGATACAGCATTAAGGACTGAAGATTTTTTCCCCTCTGTAGGAAATTTTCCTTATGCCCTATTCGGAGAGATCCTCTCTTCAGATACAACGCACAAAATGGAGACAGTCTGACCCCATGTACGGAGGTTTTCTTGGCTAGCTAATGTGAAGTATGTTATCTTCAGATGGAAAATTTTATTCCTTGGATTGGTATACCAGAGACCAGACCAAAAAAATCTAACCTTTTTACTATGTTTTAACATTCTGTCCAAGTTCCTTGCTAACTTAAGGCTACCTTTTTGCTGGCTCTAATTTCCTGTGCTCCAATTTTCACATTATAGAGGAGACAGTTTTCCCGATCTTTCCTTTTTTTCTCACTCTCAGAGCCTAGGACTAATCGACCCACTGTCCACTGTTCCTGCGAAGTTTTCATGTCTCGATCTTCGCTTTCTGCTCTACGAAACTCAGGCGATGCTTGCCATTTTCTACCTATTCGAACCCCAATCATTGCTTTTGCAACTTTAGGATCTTTTCAATCCCGACATAGAATCGCCTACCTTCTATCACCAATTTCAATTCCTCAGTTAATCCTCTGAGGGGATTTGCAATGAAATCGATACTCCATATAACGCTGTACTGCTCAAACACCTCGGTAAGACGAAGCGTCTTTTCAAATACACAATTCTTCTCGACAGCCACAGCCGTTGTTAATGCCACTTCACATCCACACACACACACAGGCGCGCGCGCGCACACATACAAACACAGACGCACAAATACTACCTTCTTTGATAATAAACCAAGAAAGCCCGTACTGGGTAAGACGTTAAACTACGTCCAACAGCAAGGCCTCTGATCAGAAGGTTTTGAGGAGGGTGGAACCACCTCCTCATTGCTGGTGTTCCCAGGCCCACCCTGACCCAGGGTGGTAGCACCTGTTAGGGTCCCAGCTATGGCCAAATAGTTAAACCCGAAACTGGGGTAAAAATGCGTTTTAATACCAGGAATACTTTGTAAAAAAAATTATCAGCAATAAATTTTTGAAGAAAAAAATTATTACCAGAAATAGATTTTTAAAAAAATATTACCAATAATACGTTTTTGAAAAAATATTACCAGCAGTACATTTTCGAGGAATAAAATATTACCAGCAATACATTTTTGAGGAAAAAAATATTACCAGAAATAGATTTTTGACAAAACAAAATATTACCAGCAATAAAAACTATCTCGGCATTAAATAATCCATTGAGGTTGATATACCGTAAAATACAACAAACCAAACCAAGAAAGCGCAAAAAAAAAAACCCAAAAAAAACAAAACACAACAAAAAAAAAAAAACATTGGAAAACTTACGTTCAAATTTTCCCTGGAAACCAAAATATGGTGCATCCACAGACAAGTAACTTAAGCAAATAAATAAAATAAGCAAAATTGGTTGGTCTTTAATTAAACATTCATAAATAAAAAATGCTATTCAAATAAACGGGAAGCATATATATGTATATTAAGAAA